CCCCAAAACCCCAAAACCCCAAAACCCCAAAACCCCAAAACCCCTTACTGTTAATATCAGGTTGAGTTGGAATTGTATCTGAAAATTATTTTTTGTATTGCCACACACTGACAAGTTTAGCGTTCTCTGTTTTGGAAAATACTGCTATTCTCTTGTCATTTTTACGATGATTTTCGAGGTAAGGAAGAATCTTGTGCTCAAATGTAGAATCAGATCTATTCTTTCTAAATCTTTCAATGATCTCAGGGATAGATATCCCTGTATCATAAGTATCAGAGGGATCTGCTGCCTGATCCTTGAGTTCCTTCTCTATTTCCTTGTAAATTCCTCTTGCTTCAAATTTATTAAGTGTTGTCATTACCAAGCTTGAAAGAAGATAGGTAAGCCCCCCAAAGAGGCTGGTACCTAGGATAATAATGATGAGGTTGTCTCTGACCAACTTCTTAAGTCCTCACTTGAGAGTATATCTCGGATCTTTGCTATTTTCAAGTGATTCATTGAAGGTCTTAACCATTTTGTTACTAATTTTCTGTATATCCTCTTTTCCTTTCTCTTTAAAATTTTCTTTGATATCATCAGTGTGAAGTTCTATTGTCTTTTTAATAAACTGGTGAGCTGTTAAGAGTTTATTATCATCTCCTCACTCATAGTTTCCTAAGTGGTATAGATAATCTTCGTAGAAATTATTGGAGAATTTAATAATCGATTGACTCATTTGGTTGTCCTCAATTCAGGCTTTTCCACTTTGGATGTACTCAAAATTTCAGTGCAGCTTTCCTTTATAATCTCATATAGCATTATCTGGACATGGGAAGCATTCATTTAGAGTTACCTTCCTGTTAGAAGGTCAATATATTGTGTTGTCCTGTTGTAAGAACTTATAGTAGCCTAACTCAAATAGTTTTATGCTACCTGATAATGCAAGGATAACCGCTATGAGAACCAAAGCGGGTGTTATCTGTCCAATAATTTCTAGAATAGGTTAAGAGCATCCTTACTGCTACATTTTGAAGGTGAGTTATTGCTCCTAAATCCTCTCCTTGGCCTAGGTCTCGGAATTTTATACTGATTGCCTGATTCTGGTCCGTTCTCTTTAGGCTCAGAATTAACCTCTTTGTTTTCTCTTTTTGGATCATAAATATTTGGATTTGACTCTCCGATAGTTCTTGATGGCAATATTCTGTTAACCCTAGACTTAGACTCTTTGTTTTTGTCATCATTCTTATCGTTATTGGTTCTTTTACGACTGATTCTAGCTGGAAACCTATTTCGGATAGAAGATTCATTATTATGGCCATTTGTTGGAATTCTGTTATTTGAAGTTTCTCTTAAATTTCCCTTTCCAGAGAAGTTATTTATCCTCCCAAGGTTAATACCATTGACTGAGTCTTGGTCATTATTAACATTTGTATTGCGTGAAATAGGTTGGAATCCAGTGTTTTCTCTTTGATTCAACAGCCCAGAACTCTCATTCGTATTTCTCTGATTTAGTTCTGCTGAGTGCTCTGGTTGTCTCCTAAAACCAGGAGCGGAAGGATCCCTGGTTTGACTCCTATGACAATCCAAGGTTCTTTTGAATATATCTTGAGCGTTCTGCTGCACAGCTTGAGTCTCCTCTTCGCTTTCCCTAAACTATTAAAATTCTTAATACTTTTTCTTGCGAGCTTGGAATCTTTCAAGCCTTCTCTCTTTCATCTCTCTTTGTTGTTTAGCCAATGTATTCTCTTCGGGTTTCGCATCATCTTCCATGCTAGCATCAGATTGTTTTGGAGCTGAGAGAAACCTCGATTCATTAGAACTCTGACCTGTGTTGTCTCTGCTTGGTCTCTCCCATCTCTTCCTCATGTGACTTCTGTTCTTCTGGTTATTTGTTGATGAATCTTTGATCTCTACATTTTCTCTGAACCCTTGATGCCTTGAGATCAGTTTGTCTTTCTTCAAGGAGCTATCTACAGGGGCTTCCATTCTGGGGCCTTTAGAATTAATCGAGCTTGAGTCAATAGAATCTCTTGACTCATTTGCAATACTAGAGTTTTCTATTTCATGTGGAGGCATCTTCCCTAAGATTCCAGGAGGAGCTTTCTTTTTACTCTGACCGATTTGAGGTATCTTACTTCCTACTGGCTTATTTACTGAAGCAAGTCGTTCAGCTGGCCTTTTCTTTTGTTGAGGAATCTTGATTCCTCTATTTGGTTCTCTAAAGAATTTGAATGCATTCAAAAGTGATAAAATGAGCGGGAATGAAGAATAATTACGCTGATACATCTTTGGGTTTCCTTTTTCTACTTGTTTGATCTGTCATGATCTTTTTCCTTGATCTTTGCTTCTCTTCTTCAAGCTATATTGCCAGGTGTTAAATTATGTACTCTTCTATTCAAACACAGAGGTTAATTAAGCAGTTCATCAACGAAGAATTACTGGGATAATTTATTCGTATTTAGTAATCAAGAACAGATTAATTAAAAGGTCTCATACGAATGCATTAATCTCAAAAATTAGTGAAAACTAATACTTTGCTGATAATTTGCGGGTGGATTTGCATGCGCTTTTACTTACCAATACCTTGATGAGGAGAGATCTTAATTGGTCCTGAGTGGAAGCTCCCTTTCTTTGATAATCAACGTTCATTTGCTCTAACTTCTCCTTGAGTTCTTTAATCCCAAGCTTTCTAACCTGCCTACTAATTGAGTGCGGATGATTGTTCATCTTTACCTTAAATAATTATAGACCAATTTTATACATAATTATAGGGGTTTTGGGGTTTTGGGGTTTTGGGGTTTTGGGG